AAAAAAAATATATATATATAATCATTAAAAGGAGTGCCTTGGCTTCAGTAGAGTGACTGTGCCCCAGGCATCAGAGGAGCATCTTGAGAGATGAAGGTATTCACTGAAAGTAGTAGGGAGATTTTCTTAATTTCCTCTCCTCAGTGAAAAGTTGTTGGGACTGTTATAACACTGAGTTTTTGGCACCTGACAAAGGCAGGTTCTCTGTTCTGTGAGAGAAATTAGTAAACTCAATCCGGATGATAATGGCTAATGCGCAGGCACCTGAATCTACATGGCTTTGTTATTTGTGGACATTTTAAGTCCAGGAATTGGATGCTTTAACGAAGGTTGGTGTTAGCTTTCTGGACAAAAAGATGGAATAATAGTGAGGGAGAGTGTTTATAATTGTATATTTTAAAGGTAATCAATTTCTAGATGTGCTGTTTACACATTTCTTCACATAGCATGCAGTAATATGCATAAATACCTCTGAACCCTGGCCCTCTTTAACTTTGTGGCATCACATACATAGAAAAGAGTAAATGTAGGCTGATTGTGCTGGTATGCATATCTTTATTTTAAGATGTTTTGACAGATCTACCAACCTCAAATAGAACTTCACATACAGTCTTGAAGGTCACTTTTATATTGCACTGATATCATTTTAGATGTATTGTGCTTTGCTCATAGAGTATACATATGCTGACAGTGGTGAAGCTGCCTAAAGTGTTTGGGCTGAATTATTAAATACATGTTCAGTGTATCTTTGCAAAACATGAACATTACCCCATTTTTTTTTGTCTCTTTAAAAAAATAAATTTTGACCCAGTGTGCTGCAAATCTCATGTTGCAGCTGACTAAACCATCCTTCTGCTCCTGCATAATTCTTCCTTTTTCATCTACAGAACACCGCTCCCTCTACTCATCTCCAGGGGAAGGTGTTCTGTAGTCAAGATGTGGTAGTCCGGTTGGACTGGCAACACTGCATGGCATTTTGGTGCAGCAGAGACGATTGTAAGCTCGAACGGGAAGTTAGGACCTTGCTAGATTTTTGGCAGGATCAGCAGGCATTTCTCTGTACTTTTTAAGGAGACAAAAAAGAAAATGTTCGAGGTTTTTCCTCGGGCATAACTCTGCCTTTTATCAAACATATGTGGGTAACAATTTTTTTTAAATTAAAATTCTACTAGTGTATGACCATTTTAAGAGGGGAAGGTCCTTATTTTTAAAACTCTGATCACTTTGCTTACCACCTTTTGTATTGTCTTTCTAGGCTGCCCACCCACTGCTGAGGCTCTTTTGTATGGTATACTGCAACTTCAAAAGAAGATAAAAAGAGAAAAGAAAATCCGCCTCTGGTATCGGAAATAAGTGTTTTTATTAGTTCTGTATTTACGTTGAGGTGGTTTGGACCGGTTTGTACATCTTTGATGTAATGGTGTAATTTTGCTCTTCCACAATGCAACCTTTGCTCTGAAATCTCGTCGTCATAATTAAAGCGGAATCACTGGCTTGTGTTATAACATTCATTAAATAAACCATTGAGAAGATTATACAGTGTCGTATTTTTCCATTTTACACACGGGGTCACATTCTTTGCAGTATATTTGTACACCTGGACCAGTTCACATGCCATAATAAGAACAAGAAGCACCACACGTGACAACCATGGAACACCTGTTTCTGTCTGTCACTAGTATAACCAGTCTGCAAGTCATGCTTCAAGCGTTGGGGATTTCTCTTTATCTGCTACACTTCACCATCTGTTAGAGAGCAGTGTTTTCCAAAGTTTGGAATGCATGCCGCTGGTAGTACATGACCACGCTGACTGGGGAGTTTAAGGCCCCATTCACACAAGGATCAACGCGGTACCATTTAAAAGCTGTATGGAAACCACAGTAATCAGTGCGGCACAAATAGTGCAGGGGGCAGTTCGGACGGCGCAGTCGCATGAATGGTCCCCATAGCAATGTATAAGATTGTTCATGTCGGCGGATTGGCGCGGCCGAACTGCCCCGGTGTGAATGGGCTTTAAAGATCATAGATATGAACACTTATTGTCTGCAGTTTAAACACCTTGTTGCACTGTTAAACAGTTGTTTCTGTAAGAGAACATTTCCACACTAAGGGTTCTTGCACATGTGCATTGAGAATTTAATGAAAGCGCAATGCTGATTGACACACCTATAGTGTTAACATGGAATTCGGCAGGGATTTTCAAGGCATTCAAAAATGCCCTGCAAGTAGGGAAAGTGTGTTAAAGGAAAGTGACCAGCAGTGCCCACACTTCTATTTTTTTGTCGCAGTTGCTGGGCAGATTTGGGTAATACAATTCTGGGTATTGCTCAACTGCTTGAATTAGAAATAACAGCTGGCACTACAGGGTGGCATAGGTCAGTTTGCAAGTACCTGGCTAGAAGCAGTCCTTTTGCTGGCTGTGTGCAGACAGGAAGTGGCATCTGCACCTGCTCTGTCCACTCACTCTGATTCCCCAGTGGTTTCTGGCATTGCAAAACCACCTATGCCGCTCCTAAAACACCTGTGCAACGCTTCTTAAATGCACTCTTTAAATTACTGTTCGCTTCTGACTCACTTTAAAGTGACACTAAACTCAGGAGTTAAATCCTAAAAATGCTTTTGAAGTACCCTAACTAGTAACAAAAATGTATCTTATTTGTGTATCACTCAGCTGTAGATCCTCAAACCATCTCTGAATTGGTGCCGACACTGTCCTTCCTTCTGGAAGGTGGCTACTATTGTTCTCCATGGTCCACTCCAAGCTTGCTACCGTGATGGACTACAATCTCATGTTTAGTTTACTAATTTGTATTGAGATTTTAGTCCATCACAGGAGCGAGCTTGGAGCAGTGACTTTAAAGTGACCTTGTACAACAAAATTCGAAATTAAAGGCAGCTTTATACATATCTAACCCTTCAGTCTATTTGCTAAAACCTCACACTATAGCAGAGCTCCTGACACTTTGGGCCAGTCAAATAGCAGTTTCACTGAGCTGACTGCTTCGGTTCCTCCTGCTGACCCCTAGTCCATGCAGGACACAATAGTGATGTAGGGCACGGAGGTAAGAACCACAGTGCCCAGCAGGGGACACTCTATTCCATACACACCTAGAAGTGTGCGGTAGGTTTGGTGGTAAAAGCATTGCTACAGAGTGAAGTGTTGGCAAACAGGTCAAGGACAGGTAAACATGGCCATACACTTAAAGCCAAACTCCAGGAAAAATAAATGATCATTTACGCGGTGCACTATGTATGTAAATTATCATTAAACAGTAGACATGTGCGATTCGTTTCGTTCCGAATCGAAATTCGGACGAATTTTCAGAAATTCGGACGAATCCGAATTTCCATTTCCGAAATTCGGTAGCGTTCGTACGAACGTTCGTTTCGTTTTCTGTTCTTATTCGTTTCGTTCGTTGGAGCAAAGTGACAGAGGAGAAAAATATTTTTTCCCCCTCAAATGTCACTTTTGCTGCAAACGAATAAGAAACGAATAAGAACAGAAACGAACGTTCGTACTAACGCTACCAAATTTCGTCCGAATCCGAATTCCGAATCCGAATTGACTTTCGAATCCGAATCCTGAAAAACGAAATAACACAAATCTGAATTTAAAACGAAACAAATTTTTGGGCAGTGCACATGTCTATTAAACAGCTGTATGTTATGTGCTGCAAAGTATAAAAATCTTGCCCGCAGCATGCCGACTCCTACATATGCCGGGGAGTGAATGATGCAGTGAAGTGCTCCAGTCGCATCCACTCTCCTCCTCACTATTTGCCCATTCACAGAATGTCTTGTATTTGTCTCCTAGAATACAAGACTTTGTGATTGGAGAGGAGGGGGCAGCGATGCAATATCATCTCTCTTCCTCAAATACACAAACAGTGTAGCTAATTGGCTGTCAATTTGTCACCCAGCTCCTTCCACAAAAGCTGACTGAAAAATCTCCTTTTGTGGTGGTGGCAGGATTGAAATTTGGACAATTCAGCAGGAAACAGATGAAATGTGATCAGTGTATGGACAGCTTAAGTATAATGTGGCTTTCTTCACAGGGTAATAGCTTTCTAATTTTGTTGACCCCCCTGACAGGGAAACTGTAATCGTTGGGTTCCTGATGGGAAGCAGAAAACATTGCAGTCCTAGGTTAGCCTCACTGCAAGGGTTAAGAATAAGTAGTTCTTCAAAATGATCGTGGTCTCTTCATTCAGCAACATAAAGGATGTAGAGCAGGGCGTCTCAAACTCCATTTACTTGTGAGCCACTGGACACATTTTTTTTCTCCAATGGGGGCCTGCTTGCCAAGTTTCATAAAATGTCATACTTCCAAATAAAATGTAACTATGTACGGTAGCAGTGTTAATGTCTGCGTGTGTTTATAATGTCAAAATATGTGTGTTGTGATTGTGTGTCCCTCATATCAGTATGTATGAGTGTGCAGTGTCAGTATATATGTGGTCCCCCCACCCCCACAGGTTTTACTTTTAATCAGAGGACCAACAGACTCACAGATTCACTCACACACAAAAATATATATATATACACACACACACACACACACTCACTCACACTCACACCTTCTTAAAATAAAACAAAGAGCCCCCTGACGCGCTTACATTTTTTGCAGGAAGGGGCACATTTCCTGATGGTTCAATAGTTGATTGGTACGGTCGGCACCATTGGCTGATATCGACCTTATCAATCCTTTGCGACGCTCAGTGAAAGCTGTCACAGTCCCACGCTTTGCTCTGACTCACACTGAGTGCCGGCACCAGGAGCAGCTATGTGATCTACATCCAACAGAGATGCAGACCGTGTGGCAGGTCAGGCGCACACAGTTGGTGACTGCGTGGCTGACTTGTCAGCCGGCTGCGGGCCGGGACTTTGAGACCCCTGATGTAAACCAATGAATTAAGCTGTAGTAACAGATACTGCAAGTGAATATAAGTAATTGAACACATTGTTATTCAACATTGATTACCAATTGATTCATCATAGACACAGAGCGACAATCTGCACATGTTAAAATCAAACTTTTTAAAAGTCTGGTGCTGCTTCTGTTAAATTACTAGTAGCCCTGCAGGACTTCCATATACAGCCTTGTAGCCACATGAACTGCTCACTATAATGCAAGGTTTGTTAAAAGAAAAACAAAACGGTGTCCAGTCATGTACAAAACAAATTGCTGGGTATTCCAAATGAACACAGTTTCACTTTATTTACTAATCAAAGCTCAAGCTGTGTTCTTTATATATAGTGTTTACAGTTCATTCTGCAGAGTGTTGTACCTAGTAGTACAAGGGTGGGCAACTTTGGCCCTCCAGCTGTGCTTTAACTACAAATCCCAACATGCCTGTAACTGTCAGTCTTGAAATGCCTTATGGGACTTGTAGTTCCACAACAGCTGGAGGGCCAGAGTTGCCTACCCCTGTAGTAGTAGGAAGGTAGTTCTGTGTAACTGGGAAGTTTTCTATTGTTCAATGTAGTTTGCACCCCCTGCTTCCTTCCAAAACTTCCTTCTGAGCTCTGATGCAAAAAGTGACACTGGTGCTTTGAGAGGATGGCCCCCCATCCTTTTAAAGGTCCTCCTTCAAAAACGCGTCCAAATACTTATAGACCAGGGGGTAGGCAAACTCTGGCCCTGCAGCTGTGGTGCAACTACAAAACCCATTAGGCATTGCATGACTTCCAGAGACATGATGGGAAATGTAGTTTCACCACAGCTGGAATTTTCCCACCTCTGTTATAGAGTTTCAAGGCCAGTACCTGCATGGAGACACTAAACCAAATTCCCAATTTGCTGGGTTGTTCCTTCTGGGGAAGGTGGTAAACATTTAAAATCTTATGTAAGTTTTTATAATCTCTTTAGAGAAGCTGTAAATGATTTCCAGCATATATATATATATA